AATATAATTTGAAATACTGATTCTTTTATCTAAATGTGCAAATACTAGAAATATGTTTTTCAACACTTTTTTTTCTATTATTTAAAAGTTAGTAATACTCTTACTATGAGTTTTAGATATTTATCAATTTCTCTTGTAATCATGTATCTCTGAATACATTTTAATCAATAAGGCTTTGTTCTTTTGTAGGAATTTGGGGGAAATGATTTGAATGAATTTGAGTGGATTTGAGGGTAATTTTTTTTGTTGTTTTTTTTAGTGGATTTGTGGGTAATTGAGAGTGAATTTGGAAGTAAAGTTTGTGAGAATTAGTGTAGGATTTGATTGATGTAACAAATTTACAAAATTAGTTTAATTGGTAAAAATTGAAGATTATCAAAATGTCTCTAGTTATTAAAGTAATATAAAATGTTATTTATTAATGTTATATTTAATTATAAAAATGTTTATAAGAGAAAAAATAAAAATTAAATTTTAAAATGTAAAAAAATGATAATTTAGTAAATTGAAATAATAATAATAATAACTATTATTATTAATAACATTATTATTTTTATTATAAAGAGAGAGAGAAAATAATTATTATGAATATTATTATTAATATTATTAATTATTATCATTATTATTAATTATTATCATTACTATTATTAATTATTATTATTATTAGTTATTATTTTTGTTTCTTGGTTGAAGATGTAATACATTCACACAGTGATAATAAAATACATTCACATAATGGTAAGTGCAAGGGACTAAAAAGACATTTGATTATAAATCATCTTAAATCTTCGTGTAGCACCGATGATTGGAAAAATAGCTGATCACGCAAATCCTTCCTTTCAATAGCTCGCAATTCTTTTAAAATGAACATGAAAATTTTCTAAATCCGCGCTTTCCTTTACTCGTAAATAGTGAATTCATCTCAAGCGAACAGACCAAAGAGATAGTGTATAGAAGAGTAACACTCACCTTAACAGTTTATGTACGCACCTTAAAAATCTTCCGTGTCTATGTTTAATTGGCATCATGGAACACTTTAAAGAATTTATTAAGAAATCAATAGTTAATAATAAAACACTGAGGAGTATATATATGTTTATAGCTGTTAATAGATCTAAACATATATTTAATTATTAAGAAATCAATAATTAAAAATAACGTAATCAACCTGTAATAGATCTGATTCGACCCGGTTCGATTTATTACAGGTTGGTCACGTCAATCTAATTTGACTCACTTATCAACGAGCTAAAAAAATTTGAACCTAGTCCGACTCATCATATAATTATAATTTTTTCTTAAAATAGAAAAATTACAATTTTTTAAATTCAAATTTAAATAAATTTCAGATTAAAATGATGTTAAACTAAAAAAACAATTAAAAAATTAAGTATAATACAATCCAAGCTTAATCCAAAATCATGTACAAAAGTTGAACAAATAAGTTTTTAATATTGATCATTTTTGTATCACTTGTCCATTTATAATATTAGAATCTTGAATAGATAATTCTATAATATTTTTTTCTCTTGAAACATTTTCTTTATCACCATCTACAATATAATAAAACAAATATTAACTAATAATATTAAAACAAAAAAAATAATTTAATTAAATTAGGTAGATTAGTGAGCCAACTCGACTCACCACATATTCAACCCGGATGAGCCGGATTCCAAGTGAGCTAGGTTGAAAACTAATCCGCATAAAAAAGATTACATTTTTTTCAAACTCAATCCGACTCAAACCCGTGATAAATTGGATTGACTGTTACAACCCATTTTGACAATGTTAATGTTATCTGGGTACATTCATAATATTTAAATTGGATTTTTTTTAATATTTAAAAACAACTCTTGAAGTAGTATCTAAAAGTTTATATTGTTAATTATGTAGTAGTTTATGATTAAATGCAACAGTTTTTTACACTAGTAGAATATTTTAAAAAAGAATAATTTAAATATATTCTTATATTGAATGATAAAATACATTATCATTCAATTATATTTCTATAAAAAGATAACTTTTTATTGTGAAAATTGATTTTTTTTTAATTTTAATCTAATTTAGTTATTTAATTTTTAAAATGTATGTATTTTAATTTTTTTAATCAAATTCTAAAAATAAAAGATTAAATTAGTCAAATTTCAAAAACAGGTTAATTTTAATTTTTATTCAAAATTACGAGAGATTAAAAGTATATTTAACTCTTTAAAATATTATAAAAAATCACATTTAAAATAATTTATCATTTTTTGTTTAATTGCTTATAATTTTACAAAACTATTATTATTTTGTGATCTTATCTACATTTTTTTTTTGCATATTTTACTATTGTTTTTTAGTTGTTCACATCTTATCACTGGAAATTTTGTTCCACATTTTATTAATGATATCGTTTTCAATTTTTACTACCATACTGGTAACGAAACAACACCATCTTGTTTTCCAAAAACATGACCGATAAAGGGAGGTTGTTTTTAAAAACAGTTTAGTTGTTATAGAGTTAACATATTAATAAGATGTGTGGGAAAAAAAATTATAGGCTTAATAGCTTACTTGGTTCCTGTCAAGTGGTTTTTAAAATTGTATACATTGAGTTTTAAAGTTGTCAAAATTTTATAAATCAAGTTCCTTTCGTTTAATTGACAGAAACGGAGTTAACCCCTACCTGATGTGACGAAAGAATTTGCACATTTTCTTCTATTTTCTCTACTTTTCCGGCAATGCTCCAACTTTTTCTCTTCTTTTATATCTTTATTAATTTTGTTCTCTCTCCTTCCTCCACAACCTCTACCTCTAGGATTATTAGAAAGGTAGAGCAGAGAAATTGAATGAACGGTGTTAGTGACCGAACAGTATGAGTGACCGAATGGTGTGAGCGAGTAACCGAATAGTGTGAGTGACCGAACGATGTGAGTGACCGGATGGTGTGAGTGACCGGATGGTGTGAGTGACCGGATGGTGTGAGTGACTGAATGGTGTAAGCCAATGACCGAACGGTGTGAGTGAATATTTGAGGGTTCCAATATTTTATTAGTGTTGTTGAGAATGGTGTAAGCCAGTGACCGAACGGTGTGAGTGAATATTTAAGGGTGCCAATGATCTTGCCACAGTCAGCTGGAAATTAACTCCGCTTCTGCCAATTTAATGGATGAAACTTGATTTATACAATTTTGATAACTTTTGGACCAATTATATGTATTTTTAAAACCGGATAGTAAACTGGAAAAAAACATTTAACACATATACTAAATAAGTTATTAAGCCAAAATTATAATAGTAAACTTTTAAAAATCATGATAATTTAATGTAAAATCACCACTAAACTTTTAATTAGTGATATATAGAAACTATCTATTGCATTTAAATATTATTTATAATAAACTTTTTTTTATTTCTTTAAATAATATGATGGTTACCAATAAAAACAAATAGTTACTAAACATAATTTTACTTGAGGTGAGTAGAGTCTCAAAACAACAATTTCATTTATATAGATTGTTTTTATAAGTTCACTATTAAATGTCTTTCATACAAATAAATATACGTAACTGAAAATAACTTAAATAAATATTTTTTGAGAATTACACTTGTAAATGTAACTCTGCTTATGTCAAGGTTTTTCTATGTCATGCAAAGGATTAATTATGAGTTTATTTATGCTTGGTGAGTGTATGTTTAGCTGAATTTGTGAGTGTACGATTAATTATTATTTGTTTTAATTGAACCATATAATTTTTTTAAATAGTCCATATATAAACTATTTTAAATATTTTTTAGTTTAATTTTATTTGGATTTTGTATATAGTCCATATATAAACTATTTTAAATATTTTTTAGTTTAATTTTATTTGAATTTTGTATAATATGTCTCGTTAGATCAACAAGTTAGTGGGAAGATAACTCGTTAATCAAATAAAAGAATAATATTTTTATTTTATTAATCTACTGACACTTTTACTAATATAAATATTGTTATTAAAATTAATAATCATAATGGAATTATGAAAAAAAAAGAGTGAACAATTGCGATTGGTTTAACTTTTAAATCTAGATTAAATTTTTTCCCAATAATTATTTATATTTTATTTAGTAATACTTAACTATTTATTGTACTTTCAAATTTGAATTAAAACTTTTACTAAAAATTATTTATATTTTATTTAGTAATACTTTCATAATTCACATTTTTCAACTCTATAATTTAGTCACTCTTACTAATTTAAAACTTTTAAGATACATTTTTTATTTTATTTCTGGTAATTTTGTAGGTCAAAATATTTGTATTTCTTTAACAATTTTATGAATGTTCATTATTTTTGAATATTTCTAGCATCTCATTGAAGCATTTATAAATTAAATTAACTGAATTTGGAAAATAACAATAACATAATATTTAAAAGTGCATATACACATAAGTAACGTATGTGTTTACGTTAACTATATTATATTTTAATAAATATTTTTAAAATATAATTAATATCTTATAAAATAAACTTGTCTTAAGTTTATAGCTTAACTGAACTAACTAAGCTACATTTAAATTGAAAACCAAAACGAAAAAACAGTAAAAATAACTTATTCAATTTAAGTTACAAAATTTTTAACCTTGCCCAATTATTTTGGGATATTGCAAATGAATAGTTTATTTTTTTTCTTGGGACTAACGCTCTTTGTTCAAAGGTTTTTTGTACATAAAAAATGAAAAATTAGATAGAGTATTAAGTTTTCCATGGATCCTACTGTATCACGTTAATTGTTGTTCTGAAGAGTTTGTTCAATCTCTCATACACCAAAAAATATCTTTTAATTTTTTGTAAATAAATAGTTGCTATTTTAATAATAGTATATCATTTAAACACATTAAACATGCTGGTCTACAAAACCGAGAGTTAAGGAGTCAACTGATATCACTTTAACTTAAATTTTTAATCTCAGCATGCACGCGCGGTTGGAAGCGTGGAAGATAGATCTCACCGTCATAATCTGCTTTCAGTGAGTCATTTTTATCACCAACAGATAACAAAATAGAGGTAAACCTGAAGAAAGGCAGTGGAGAACAACCAAAGAAAGAAACACTTGACACATAGGAAAGGACGTGGTAGAAGTTTGCATGCTCTCGGTCACGCAACCTTCGTGCATTCCCAAAGCCCTAAAACCCTTCATTCCCCTTCCGTCTCTGGCCATGAAGGACCGCCGCACGCTGTCCTCCTATGGCTCCGTTTACATTCCGCCGCACCTCCGCTTGCGCTCCGTCGCCAATTTCAACAACTCACCCTCTCCGCTTCGCGCCAAACCCCACGAAAACCCTACACACACCATTTCTACTCTGCAACCGCCGTTCACGGAGCGAGTTACCGATAAGGCACGCTCGCTCTTCGTTTCTGCTTATGACGATACCGTTTCCGAGGAAGGCTCCGATCGTGAATTCGAACTTCCCTCTCTAGTGGTGAGTCGTTTTGTTTTTTTAACGTGTTGCATTTCTCTTATCATTTGAAGTGTAGGTGGACATGTCTGTGAACGTGGTATTTGAGTTTAATTTTTGCTCTTTTGGTTTGCTAGCATGCTTCCAAATTTGCTTGTTTGCCGAATGCTTCGCTTGATGATAACACTGACGAATGGAAGCGGAAATTTACCGTGCTCTTAAATGACAAGAGTAAGCACGAATTAATCTCGAGGGATAAAAAGGATAGGCGTGATTTTGAGGAAATAGCAGTTATTGCAAGCGGAATGGGGTTGTATAGGTGATTCTTCAATTCTTTTTTCACTACCTGAGTGCTATTGTTTTTAGTGAGGAGTAGTTCTTTATTTTGGGGATTTTTATTTGCGTTAGTTTTTGGCAGCCATATGTATGCTAAGGTTGTTGTCTTCAGTAAGGTCCCACTTCCAAATTACAGATATGATTTGGACGATCGGAAGCCTCAGAGGGAGGTATGCATCCTGTTCAATCATTTGCTCTTTACTTTTCCCTTTGGCCTTTTGCTAAGTTCAAATGCCTTTCCTTTTTATTTGTTTGTGTCTATAGACTGTGTTTGAATACTGTTATCTATAGAAAATTTACTTGTCAATAGATACACCTTAGTGAAGCTTTCAGGAATTGACAGGTGAGCTTGTCTTTCACCACATTTACCCGTGTTAAGGCGCATTTTGAGGAATATCTTAGCCAAAAATCCAGGATGAACAAAAGCTGTTTGGATTTGTCATCTGCAAGATCTAGCAGTAATTGCAGTATTGGTATGGATGAGGGGCTTTTTGAGCAACCTGAGCCACTAGCATCAAGTAAGGCTGTTATAGAGAAAATTGTTCGGCAGAGGAGCTTAAAAATGCGTGCTCAGCAGCAAGCTTGGCAGGTTGCCTTCTCTCAAATAGAAAATAGTGGCCTGTTTTCCTGTTCTGTGATAAAACTTATGTGCATTTTTTAGTTCATTCCTTTATCTACATTTGGTTGTTTATTCTGAATTGAATAAATATTGAACCCACAAACTGCTTACTGAGATCTGTATTTATAATACGGTTCTGCTACAAGTCAATTGTAATTGTCTAACTAAACCAATAGCACTAACTGGCACAAACAAGGAAGAGCCTAAATAGAGATAGCGACAAATTGTAACTAACAAACTTATGCAGACAAACTATAACTAACTAATTGATGACAAAGTGAGAGTTACACTCACCCCCGCAAACTTGAGGAGGTTAAGAAACTGTAGGAAGCATTATGCCCAAAGTAAAGAAAATCTAGCAGAAGGGAGGTAAGGGAGATGGTGAGAGTAGGGGAAACCTGACACTTACAGAATATAATATTAGTCAAAAACACTAAGGGTCTGTTTGGGAAAACTGTAAAAATTAAATTATTTTGATAATCAATGATTGTTATAATTGATCATGACCAATTTGGTTTAGGTAAGTTTTCTGAATGTAGTTTTAAGACAATTAATTATGTTTAAAAAACATTTTTTACCTGAGAAAAAATCATGAAAGGAAATAAAAACTGTCAGAAAATAATTATATATTATAATTCTTTAGATTAATAAAAACAGTTTATTTTTTCAGAAGAAAAGTTGTTTACAAATTTAAACTATTATCCTTGTCCCAAACATATAGCTAAAATTGTAAATAGCTTATTTTTTTTTTATAAATCTCAAAAACAGCTGAAATGTATCCTAATAGTCTTTCCCAATCATGCCCTAAGTATGTGTTTGGAATTTCATTCCCTCTGGATTAAACACCTGTCCACCTCACAGCAACATACTGTAGCTTCAGCTTCAATTTGGCTTAACATTACCCTAAATACTCTGTAATGTGGACAGAAAACCATAACACAATGCAAATCTTATTGTAAATAGAATCCTAATAACTTAATATGCTTATCCGTAATGGTACATTTCTGCTGGATACATGTGAAAGACAACAAGCAGAACATTTTTTGTCAGTTTTCATATTTGGACCATGATTATTCCATTTTCATGGTGTACACATTTGGTACGTACATGGTGCAGGACTACAAGTATGTGATAGATCTATGAATCTAGGAAGGTCTCAAAAGTATACTCTCATAGGCCTATATTGAAGGCCCAATTGCGAGTATCTATACCTTTAACACTACCAAAGTACCATATATACCCATATCCGTGGAACATAGGTTTTTCTTAGTCACAGTTTTGGGGTGATATCTTCCCTCCATTGACAATGATCATAGATCAATCTAATGCTTATTGTTAGTTGATATTCACACTAACTTGTTTTGTAATAAGTTGAAAAGAAAAAAAGTCCAGTGGTTCTTCTTTGTGGTCATTACAGTCTGTCCATATTACCTGTTACAGATACTTGTTATTATTTTTGTGTGTTGATTGTTTTCCCTGAATATCTTTTCAGTATTTTGAATATCCAATGAGCTTTAGACCATCGAGGAAAAACAAAGTTGGCTTGAATGTTCTTCACATCTTACCTTCTCTTTTCAGGAATCTGCTGAAGGAAATAGAATGCTAGAATTTCGCAGAAGTCTCCCAGCTTATAAAAAGAAAGAAGAAATATTATCAGTCATATCTAGGAATCAGGTGTGTTGAATAGTTGTATTATTAACAATATTGTTATTGGTTAAACTTATTGACCTATTAATTGTATTACAAGTTGTGTTGAACATCCTTTTAAATTAACTTTATACCGTTTGTATGTTTAATGTTGGACTTGTCTAAAAACAATGTTGCAAGTCAATTGCTGTTAGCTAGTTTGACTGGCTGATGCACTGAGGATTTTGAGTTGGTTCAGATAATCAAACAGTATTTTCTATGTAAACTGAAATTTTTATTGTGGAATTCAGAACCCGCTGCAAATACTTTGTTGAATTTTTTGTTGTAAAATTTTTTAAACCATGAATATCAAGTATAAAGGTTATGGTGGTGATTTGGTTGAATTTCAATGCAAACAGTAGCAGTGATCATCCCTTAAAAGGTGGGTTGTTTGGTGGAGGTTGTCTCTTGGCATTTGTATGAAAATATTTCATGATAAAAAATTTAATGTACAGGCTTTATAATTTTGTACAGAAGTTAGACAACTGATATTCGACTATTATCACGTTAATATTTATCAGGAAACTATATATTAGACTGTTGTATCACATGGTTGGTTGGTTTAGCAGAGTTATTGACTAATGAGAAGTATTTGGGTTTGTGGTAGCTAGAATGCCATGCCCAAATCAAAAATCGGAAAAAGCTCAGTCTTTGACCTGCTTTGATTTATACAATTACTATAGTAGTTTGATGTATGAGTGGGGACTTGGGTTTGGAGTGATAAGATATACTTCCTCAGCAGTCCCTGTGGTCCTTAAGACTCTTCAAGTGATACACAACTTTTCAGCTTTTATATGCCCATAGTTAGTGTCACCAGAAACAGTCGTTTGGCAGAACCACTGATGTTATTGTGACTGTAAAGCATTTATAATAATCAATATAAAATGTAGTATGCATCTTGGTTAAGTTCTGTTTCCCTTTACTTTTATTCAAATATGATTTAAACACAGATTGTAGTCGTAATTTTAATCTTCTAAATTTTTATTTCTATAATTTGATTGTTTGTTATTAAATGACATATTTTTTAGGTAGTTATAATTTCAGGCGAAACAGGTTGTGGCAAGACAACTCAAATTCCACAATTCATTTTAGAATCTGAGATAGAATCAGTTCGAGGAGCTGCTTGTAATATCATATGCACAGAGCCAAGACGCATTTCAGCCATGTCAGTTTCTGAAAGAGTGGCCTTTGAGAGGGGAGAGAAATTGGGCGAATCTGTAAGTTTATCTGCGAAACATGGTTATTTTTAATATACTATCCCATTCTATTACTTTTCTGTTTTCTTAAAATTTCAATATTTCTCCCTATTTATTGGTTGCTCACTCACTCGCTCTTTCTCTCTCCTTGAAAGGTTGGATATAAAGTTCGACTTGAGGGTATGAAAGGGAGAGATACCCATCTTCTCTTTTGCACCACAGGCATTTTATTAAGAAGATTACTGGCTGATAGAAAGTTAAAAGGCGTAACTCATGTTATTGTGGATGAAATTCATGAGCGAGGGATGAATGAAGGTAGAGTTTTGAGCTTCATTCAATCTTTTTCTTTTAGAACGTTTCTAAATATTCATATACTTTCATTTTTTTTGTGACAGATTTTCTGCTTATTATCCTTAAAGAACTCCTTCCCCGTCGGCCAGAACTGAAACTGATTTTGATGAGTGCTACCCTAGATGCGAAGCTCTTTTCTTCATACTTTAATGGGGCTCCGACTATGTTTATTCCTGTGCGTTGCTAAAACAGTGTTATTCCTTTTTGTTGATGGGAGATAGATGTGTCTGGCAATTTCTTATGATAAATGGATCATGAACCTGAGTACATAGATATAAAATGAAATAATTTCAGAGTATCAAGGCAGTAAATAAATGTTCTATTTTTTTTATTAAATAATAATATTTTGGGGCCTAGAAAACTAAGGACTTCCCCTTTTCTTATTTTTGGATGGGTATGCTTATTAATACAGGGCTACACATACCACGTCAGAACCCATTTTTTGGAGAACATTCTTGAAATGACGGGCTACAGATTAACTCCTTGTAATCAAATTGATGATTATGGTCAAGAAAAGATGTGGAAAATGAACAGACAGGTCCCAAGAAAGAGGAAAAGTCAAATTGCTTCTGCCGTTGAGGTATTTTAGAAATTCAAAACTGTAATTGCTTACCTGTTTAGTATTTCTTAATTTTAGTTTATTTCGGAAAATGTATGACCAGGATGCAATTAGAGCTGCTGATTTCAAAGATT